TACACCCTGCAATGTTCGTCGGTAGGGAACCGCTTTTTAGTTATAAATCATTGCTAGCGTTTTTAAAAGAAATTCATTGTTTTCATATCATATACCCGGGCATTCCGTAGCACAACCTCTCTTGAGAGGTTTTCGCTGCGGTGGCTACACAAGAAAGCACTTGCCTCACGGCCCTTGGACGCAAGGGTATGAACGAGTGAGGCACTTGTGCTAATGCCATACATGTCCACCATCGTCTTTTGTTATCACCAACTTTGTTCATCTATTCTCACCACACACACCTTTCACGGCATGGTCATGATTTTATTACTTGTATGTTTTTACCCGCCTTACCGCGAGGAATTTTATGGCCCTTATACAGCCGCTAATCACAATCATCGTCCACATTCTGTCCCATGAACTGGCGCTCTTTGGCCGTCAAATGGCCCTTGCGCCAAAAAACACCATATATCATCATCATCTTCATGGGTTGACTATAATTCAAAAGCTAATTCTTCGCTGCGTGGTAACTAGAGGGGCAGACTGGGCTGCGCACGCAGGAGCCTCAAAAAGGAGTGACTCGACTAGTTGTTGACAGTTTCAAGACTAGTTTATTGAAGGTGACTAGAAGGTTAGAAAAGAAAGAGATAGGTAAAATAGCAAGAAAGTAAGATCGCATCCGGTCCCACGAAGGCTACAGTGGGAATGGTGCAGGTGAAACCCCCTTTGCTCCCGTTGGAATTGTGTTGGCGGCTCTCCTTTCAACCCGTGAAATTGGACGGTGAAGATTAACTTTTTTGACGGCGTCTGTACGGTGGGAGGCAGGACGAAGCCATAGGAATGTTTATCAGCTATGTCAGCACTAGCAGATGTAGTGAAAGCATGTGACATCATCACTATTTATGTGAAAACGGCATCGCCACCTGCATTTTCTTCTTGTATGTTTTCTTGGCTATGAAACGTCCTCTTGCAACAGGCGGGTTGATTTTTATATTCTGAAGGAGTAATTCATCAATGAGGAGTACTTTATTAATAAGAGAAAAGGGGTTCTTTTTAGTGCCCCTTTAATAATGAAAAACTCTCAGCACTACAATTAGTAAAAATAAGTTGAGTCTTCGAGCTGTAGTAAATAGTGGTTAATATAGATTCGCTTGAAATATAACAAGACTTTCTCGAATGATAAAGTGTTCAATTACTGAGGTTGTTGAGAAAATAGTAAACAGGTGCCTGCTGTATAAACACACCTTTATTTACTAAATGAATTGGCAGACCCTGTTTGTAGTAATGTATTGTACAAAGGAAGTGTGCGAGCTCCTATTCTAGTCATCTCGCCACTTTCACATTACTGTGACTAGCAGTAATAGTGACTAGCAGTAATAGTGTGAATAGTGAATTTCAGGTTAGAAGTGAATTCAAAGCGTATAGTGCTCTTGGTCTAATAATTTCAAATTGAACTTGAATAGTATATATCTCATAATATGAAGAAAATTGGCATATTTTTCGTTACCCAACTACCTGCACAATATCTTTTAGAACTGTAACAAGGCTTGTGCAAATACCGTGTTTTTGTGCGTATAACCCGCCCCTGCATATAATCCGCACCCCCACTTTCAGCTCACCGAGAAAGAAAAAAAAATCCTCGCGTATTGCCCGCACATTTGATATACAGGAAAGGCTGTACAAAAGCTACTGCTCAAGCAACATAGCACATATGTAGACAGAAAAAGCTTTATTTAGCAAGCAGAATGCGCTGTCTGCAAGGCCAGTCACAATTCACTCACTGTCGCTGCTCTCGCTAGAGCTATCACTTGAGCCGCAGTCCTCACTATTATGCACAAGGTCATCTTTGGTTCCATCCATGTTGTTTGTGATGCAGCATTTCTTGAAACTTTTTCGCACCATCTCACCTGGAATGGCCTTCCATGCCTCGGCAATCCACTTGCAGCATAGGGCAATATCAGGTCTTCGGACTCGTCCTGTCGGCGTCAAGTCGTAGCAGCCTTCGGCCATCCACTCGGCGTAATAGCGCTTGACATGCGCTTTGAAAGGCTTGTTAAGCGACACATCTAGAGGCTGCAACATTTACGTCATTCCACCGGGTATAACAACTGAGTCGGTGCCGTTGCATGAAAGGCGGTCCTTCACTTCCTCAGTTGTGTGGCCGCGAAACGAGTCAAGAACGAGCATGGACCTCTTTGCGAGCATCGCACCGGGCCTCTTCTCCCATACCGTCTTGATCCAGTCTACGAACAAGCCACTGTTCATCCACGCGTTCTCGTGTGCGTGCACCACCACACCGGCAGGCAAATGAACCTTTGGTATAGTTTTCTTTTTCAAGATGACGTACGGTCGCAGTTGCGTGCCGTCGGCGAGGGCACAAAGCAAGACTGTGATGCGCAGTTTCATGTTCCCGCCGGTCAGCACGCTCACCGAACTGCTGCCCGTCTTCTCAATCGTTGTGTCCAACGGCATTTCAAAATAAACAGGAGTTTCATCCGCATTGCCGATTTGCGAGAAAATGTAATTGTGCTGCTTTCGCAGGCCAATTACATATCTCTGGTACTTGAGCAGCTTCTCCTCATAAGAAGCCGGCAAGCGTAGACATATTGAAGTCCGCCGTCTGATTGAGAGCCCTTGCCGCTTCATAAAGCGGCGCAGCCACCCGCGGCTCGCACAGAACTCGTGAGGTAGGCCTAGCTCCCTCGAAAGTCGCCGCGCTTCCACTTGTGCCAGCTTGGTCGATACGGCGTGACCCCTGCTTCTCACATCTTCGATGAACTTTATTAGCTCCGCCTCCAGCTCAGGGTAGGCACCGGTCTTGGGGCCACGAAATGACGTACGGTCGCGGTGCGCGGCTTGTAGGCTCTCTTTCTTCTTTCTCCACAGTCGCACGCAGGACTCATCCACATCGTGCCGTCTTCCCGCTTCGCAATTTCTGAATTCCTCGGCGATGGCGATGATCTTAAGCTTTTGCTGTGCCGTGAAGGCCTGCCGCCGTGCGCTACTCATGGTGACAGAACAGATCGACTTAGGCTTGGCGAACGGGTCGAGATGTAGAGAACCGGCGGTATCAGCGAGGTAAAGAGCGCTCACACTCGGCGACAACTAGACAGCACTACCCCTTCTAGTACACTGTAAGAACACCCTGGAAACAGCAGAACCGAAATGCATGCCTGCAACCGCGTCAAAAAGTAGTACATTAATTTACTGATAATATCTCTATAGGCACTATAATATCTCATTTGCCTTGCTGAAATAAATACTGCTTTATTAATTATGGAACTTACTTTATTTATTATGGAACTTTCTTAGACAGCACCACCTTTTCGGCAAGCCCTTTCCAAAAGTAAACATGGCGTCCGTGACGTAGGGACATGTGGAGGGTCACTGAGCGGCCGCGAACGTCCAAAAAATATACTTGTGGTGTGACAGTGAGATTTTACACTGAACAATCGAATTGTCTCTCCCCAAATGTTTTTATAAACGCTTCAACGATGTAAGCAAGCGATACCAAAATCGTCCGCGAGCTGCCGTGCTACTTGCGGAGCAACACGAATTTGCGGAAACCGCCTCCGTAGCCTTCGCTACACTGTTAAGGGGCTTCACAGCACAACACGCATTGCTGTAAAGCAGCACTATAGAAAAAACCCCGCGTATTATTCGCACCTTTACTTTGCCACTGAAATTTTTGGGTTTTTGGTGCGGGTTATACGTGCGAAAATACGGTAAGATCCTTTTTGGTTCAAAGGAGTGGAAACAACTTTAAAGGCGCTGTGCAGCACTTTTCGAACATGGTCAGAAAACGCTGCTAATCGGTAGTAGATGCTGCCGAGAACACGCGAGCCAAATAATATACCGCAGCATGTGGCCTGGAATTCACAATAGATTATCAAAGTCAGCAAAAAACAATATCAGCAAAAACAAGTCAGCAAAAACAACAAAAACGGCAACGTGACAGGACGTCAGCAGTCATTGGCACGCAGCCAACTACTGAGCAGGGCATCCCCGACGTGGGCACGTGTCATGGCAGAATGGAAAGAAAGTGTTTGGCTAGGAGCTCCCTTCCCCTAGTGGTAAAGTAGTCAGGCACCACTTGAAGGCCTTTGTTATCAAAGTCAGCAAAAAATTTATTTTTTATTTTCTCTTGACTAGGGATGGAATACGCTCAAAAATCACTTATAGAAGGCTATCTATCAGCCACTGGCTGATTTGAACAAGGCGCGCTAAGTCATTGCAAGAATTGCCATTGGAGGCCGCGACTTTTCTGGGCGTGCACCCGCGATCACACTGAAAAGTGAAAAAGCCACGTATTTGAAAGAAAAAAAGTGCTCAAGGTCACAAGGCGCGCTTGATGTCTTTTCTTTGCCCGTGTCATTCGTGCCTGCTTAGCTCTCATCACTTTCGTCGGGACGAGAAAAGAGGGAATGCAATCGCAGCATGCGACAAATTTTTGCAGCTCCACTCGTACTAGACAGTTTACTCAAATTTTTGCAGGGTGGTAGTTGTGAGGCCACGAGTTCTTTTAGTGAATCCATTGCATGGTTACATGGAAAAGGGTTTCAGGGCCCTTTTAAGTAGTAGCAGGATTTGAGCTTTGGTACAGTGCAAGTGATAACCTGAAACTACATCAAGTTTTGAAATTTACTGTACATTATAGCATATGAAGCATTTAACAAGCTTTTAAACTTAATAAATGGTGAATCGACGTGATCATGTTATGTTCATTTAACTTTAAAGTGGGACTTCACGGCAGGGCGAATTTTTTTTTTTTTTGATAAGGCGTTTTTACTGTTTAGCATTCCTTCACTGCAGTGAAAAAACCTTTGCAGGGTTTATATGCTGACTGGTATACCTCTATTCGTTCATTTCAAATACTTCGAAATTTTCAACAATTTAAATTCGAATCAAAGCAAACTCCTATACACCAGTATTTGTTCGAATATACAAAGCATTCGAATATTCGCATAAGCCTAGTGTAACTGTTTCAAGTTAAGTGGCTTAGTGCATCGGCATCTTTTCAGGTCCCTGCGTGAGCGTGTGGCACCCTGCGTGCTTCTGAGTGGGTCCCGTGGTTCTGGCAAGCGCACTGCCTTGACTGCTTTGACACGTTCGCTTGGCTTGCACCACTACCAGGTCAGTATAGTGAGGACGTACGCGTACGTCTTGAAACGCGATGAATACTTCTAATATAGCTGCTGGCACGTGCAATAGCTCGAGATAAGCTTGTCACAACGATTCTGGTTTCCAAAGGGGATAGATTTTAATGAAAGAATTCTAGTTGAAATCTTGCCCACATGGCATAAACTGAATATGGTGCAAATGAAAGTGCGCGCTTCATGTAGTCCTTAAGTTTTAGTCCGACAGTGTTGCAGTACTGTCGGCCGCAGATGTTTGTGGGATCTGCAGGGCATGGCAGAGCGACGAAATACTGCATCACCTTGTGATGGGGCGAGCATTGACACTGTCGGCCCTCAGCAATTAACGACAGCACGTTTTTAAGACAATGCGCCACTGCTGGATCTAATCGCAAAAGCCGCAATCGATAACCTCAACAGCTCCTGTGTCACGGTAGGTGACAACCGTATCCTCGCTGAATTCAGGTCCTCTACTATGCTGTGCAGTAAATATTAGCAAAAGTTTGGCATACGGTGCTTGACCAACATCTGCATGTTGCACTGCAGGTCAACTGTCAGCAGCTTCTTGGTGACACGGCGGCAGCAGCAGAAACACGGATCAGGCATGCCTTGATGAAAGGTAATTGCCAAGCGGAGAAAATATACTACATGCATAAAAGTGTTGGTGTTAGTGAGTTTGGACAGGTCAACCACAGCTCAGACTTCTCCAACACAGCCTCATGTGATGTGCAAATTTAAATGAAGGGTATCAGGAATTGGGCCCAAGTATGAAGATTCGGTTTTCACTTTTTGTTATTTTCTTTCATTTGGACATGCTTTTAGAATATCTTGGACTCGATTGTGGCCATAGAAGTGGCATTTAGTATGTGTACGCTTGTACCAGGCCCGCAGCCCGGAATTTTTTTCGAGTGGGGGAGAGGGGCATTTGTTGAAGATTTTGACAAACACTTATTTTTATTATTCATTCAGGTAAAACACCCCCAACATCCGAATCTGGGGTGGGGAAGCCAGGCCCTCCAGGGTTACCCTCCCCCCCTGGTTACGGGCCTGGCCTGTACACCTCACAGCAAAAATTTACCGGATGCAAAAATTTAGGAAAACCAATACTCCCACTTTGTCTAGGAACATAGCCTCTAATCAGGTATCCCAGCTTGTAGTTGTGCACTAGGTTTAAGGTACCATTCGCTAACAGAGAAAAAATGCCCTGTAGCTGTAGAACAAATGTCCTGCAAAGTTCTGGTTATACATTTTGCAAAAGTGGTAAAGGTAACTGTACTCTGAATTTGATAACTGAGCTCCATCAGCTGCATTTAATACCCTGTAGTGCGTTGTGCTTTTCGTGCTTATTCAGTTAAACTTTCTCAGTAACCATACCAGATCACATTGTCAGGTCCGTAGTTGTATAAGTCAAACTTCACTTGGACGTCAATACAATGAACACGAATATAACGAAATATCTTATGTAAGGAAGTAAATGGAAGATAGTCTTACAATACGTGCCAGTGTTAGGAATAAATTGTATAACGAATTTTAGATATAACGGACTTATTTTCTTGTAAGATGCAAGCTTGTTATTAATGAGGTTCGAGTGTAAATGAACTGATACCATGACTAATGCATTAGAGCAGCGTGCTAATAAGTACTTGTCACGTGGCTCCCCCTACAGCACAACTGTACACACCCTGCCTACTGCAACTGTCTAACGTGGAGGTGTTCAGCGTGGACAGGGATGTTGGCTCCGGCGGTGGTGAGCACGTGTTTTCTCTATTTGCTTGTGTTCGTTGAAGTCCCTGCAGGCTTTTCTTATAGGGAGCAACAGCCAATTTTTATGGTGCCTATTTCCTTTAGTGCAATGGGAAGCTTGCAGGTGTTAAAGTGAATTGGAATGCTTAATTATTTGTCCAAATATTTGAAGCATTTGAGTTTTTGTCTGTGTCAATAAATTTGTGAGTGCAGTGTGGTAACAAGATTGTGTCGGTGTGCAGATCCCCGGGTGGTCCGCTGCCTCGGTGACACGCTGCGTGCGTTGAACGGCGATTTGGACGAACCCCCTGTGGCTGTGGTGGCCACCACGGCTGCCGACCCTGACACCCTTCACCCAGACTTGGCCCCCCTGTTCCTGCACTCGATTGAAATCCCGGTGAGTTAGAGCACTAGTAAACAACCACGAGGTCGAAAAATTGTACTAAAGTAGAATAATGCGTACTTTTGCTGTGAGCGTGCTGCCGCAAGAATTTTGAAATTTCGTGCTGTGACAAGGAAGTTACAGAGGTTAGAGCATTCGTTTCAGCTGGTTTCGAATTTTTGCGCGCCCTCTTAACTCTTTGCTTTCAAAAAGGGAAAGGTGTAGCTCATCGTTGGGGCTTCGCCCACTTCGGCAACGTGACAGGACGTCAGCAGTCATTGGCACGCAGCCAACTACTGAGCAGGGCATCCCCGACGTGGGCACGTGTCATGGCAGAATGGAAAGAAAGTGTTTGGCTAGGAGCTCCCTTCCCCTAGTGGTAAAGTAGTCAGGCACCACTTGAAGGCCTTTGTTCCCGCAATACCGCTTCTCCCGGTAGTTTAGGGCCGAGTGAAACGGCAGAGAGCAGCATGGAAAAATGAAAAGTCATAATGCAAGCTGCACCACCGCAGGGCCAAAGCACCGTTTCTTTGGGCGGAGGACCAATAAGTGAGCTCAGTAGCGTGTCATGTTTCTGTTGGTGCGCGTATGAGGGGGATCAATCAGGCGCGAGAATTGTTTTTCGAAAAAGAGGGTCTGTGCGGCTCGCAGCACTGTAGTATTTAGGAAATGTAATCGCCACTCTCTAATGTACGAATTGCCGAGCTTGTCCAAAGGCTGTGAAAAAAAAAATTCAGAGCCTGTTTATTGGTCCTTAAAACGGAAACTGCCGGAAATTGTCTCTGTTCACTGATCTCAAAGTCTTCAGTTCCTATGTGTTCTCATTACAACTTAAAAGAGGTACCGACTGTATTTTTTTGAAAGTGAGTCAACTCTGTCATACAAACCTCTTGTATATAGACACAGCTCTGACCAACTGTGAAGCTCGGGAAATGTGTATAAGGTATTTTATTTCGATATAAAAGTCAATTTTCTTATTGGCACACCTACCAACATCGGCACTAGCTTAATGTCAAGCTACAGTACTAATTCTGGTGTGACTTCATAATCAGTCTGACTAGTGGTGATGGCATCAGATACCAAATTTATGAAATAGCTGCTTGTGCATCATCGCCACAGTTAAGAGTGTCCTTGGGAACATCATAATATCTTGCGCAAGTGCATGAAAAAAAGGTTATACTGCGTTTTGACATCAGGGTACAACAGGAACCAAACCTATCTTTTAAAACATACCTTATTTACTTGATTCTACCGCGCCATCGATTGTAACACGCACCCAGTTTCCACGATGAAAAAAAAAAAAAAAGTAAGACATCGATTGCAACGCGCACCCATTTTTCTCGTTGGCCCGCACGATCACACCACTCGGGAAAACGACTCCTTTCACGAGCGTCTTCCATTTAAATATGAGGTACGGGGGAAGCTTGGGCCTATCTGACGTGCAACGGAGCATTGCTGTCACTCTAGTTTTACCGTTACCCGATGTCAGCACGCGAACTTGCTTCACCCCCTTCTTCTCGACGGTTGTGGTGCCAGGCATGTCGAAGTAAAGAGGCGTCTGATCGGGATTCCCGATTTGCCCAAGCAGGTAGCCGTTGTTGTGCCGCAACTTTTGGCATATGCCCGTTTGCCTTTGGAGGGAAAAGCCTTCCCTCTTCATAAAGTTAGTTAGCCAGCACCTGCTCGCTTTAAACTGGCTCCGCATTAGCCCTTTTTCTAAGGCTAACTGCATAACCTGCACTTGGAGCAGTTCTGTCGTCACGGGCCGCTCACTGCTCAATCATATACTCGCCGAGCAGCTCTTCAATTTGCGGAAACCGAACCTGCTGTGGTCCACTGAAGCCTTTGCGTGAATGTTTGCTGTCGACAATATTCTGCTTTTGTTTCCGCCAGTCCCGCACGCACGTTTCGGAAACTCCGAACGACCGCGATGCGGCCCGATTTCCGTTCGTTTCGGCACACGCGATATTTCTTTTAAAAGCGGCATCGGGGTGCACTCGTCGAGTTTTTGGAGTCGGCCCTTCCATGCCTTCGATGCTAATGCACTACAAGATGACGAACTCCTCAGCACACGTACGAAGTGCGCACATAGGAAACACATGGGCAGAAATGGCCGACACGCCATGCCGACGCACGTAGGGGGCAGCCATTTCGGAAATGCCGATGGCAATAGAATGACCCTATTCATTTTTTTTTTCGTACTCGATTCCAACGCACATGCGATTTATGAACTCGCTTAACCAGAAAAAAGGTGCGCGTTAGATTCGAGTAATTACGGTACTGCAATTACTTTTTCACGGTGCACTCACGGTTAGGTGTACACTTTCTAGGATCTTGAGGGCTTGGACATTTATTCGATTCAACAAAGCGACAACTGAAATATTTGTTAAGCACATGGCCTGAGGATCTTTTTTTATTGGTCGAAGGCTTTACGAGGAATAACTTTTTGTGACTTTGCTAAACAAACTCATTCTATTTTCTCACTGATTTCAATTAATAACGCTGTGTTTAGGTAAACTTCAGTGAGGGACTGTTCTCAGGCATTGTTTCTTGTGAGGCGTCCCACGTGTTCTCCATGAGCTGACGCATCATCGTGGAATGAAAACTCTGAGAATCCTCGTCCAGAGTTTTGTGATTGTAGAGATCAGTATCGATATGTTTCTCAAGACCTAATGTCAAATTCACATCAGATACATATATGAGATGTGGGAAATGCATTCTCTCTTTTTTTTTTTTTTTTCAAATACCAATGTTAGGAGACATATAGCAATCTTAGGTGACATTTTTAACAACCCCCCCCCCCCCCCCCCCCTCCTTTTGCCTTTCTCCACTATATCTTAATGGCCCCACTCTTAGTGTAACTAATTTTGCGACTACACCCCTCTATCCAAGGTAAGTTTGACACCCCGGCTTTTTAAGGGGACACTGAAGTGAAATATGATTCTGCTTAGGTTGACGAGTTGTACTCTTAAAAGTCTGATGATCATTTCGTCATCGTAGATCTAATAGAGCAGAAAACTTAGGGTCAAAGTTTGGTTTTTTGAATTTTGTGCTGAGATCTCCGCGCATGACAGCAGGAATTTCAAAGCTCCTTTGTTACATTTTGGAGACGTTGACTCATCTAACTTATGAACTCTGTTGAAATCTGACTACGTACCTCGGAGATCCATGTGTACTTCAATTTCACCCAATTAGGAACTGTGCAGGTACTAGTCAATGCCGTCAAAATGTATGATGTCATGGTGATTGGTGCAGGAATTTCAAGCTGGCGTTATCACCAACATTTTTTTTTGCGCATTGTCACGCTTATTACGCGTTTCTCCATACTGACTTTTGTATTGTGAAGAGCAATTTACTGATGGAAGAAAAATTGTTTCTTTCTTTAGTGTCCCTTCGATGATGTATGCCAAACTGTACGACTCGAGTCACGGCGTTTCTGAAAATGAATCTTAAAGATTCTTGGAGCGTTCCCTTATCGTGCCTTTCACTTTTTGACCACCCTGTGTTTGTGACATGTCCGACACCACTTCCTCCTGAACCCGGCAATCAAAAACAAACTCCGATTCTTGTGCACTCAACCTCTTGGATGAAATAGCCAGACAAAAATGCTGGCACAGCTCGTTTCATTGTCGAATGAAATTGTCAATTTCTCTTTTCTCGTGCCAGTACTATGTGTGTACTGTGTGCACGGTACTTATGAATTGAAACACGATAAATGAACTTAAGACTAAATAACGAGCGTACTCTCATTTAAACTGTCTTCATTTTGGGAAAGATCCGCATAATTTTGACTCGAATGCATCAGTCAGAGCCAACATTATCTTTATGCAGACAGATTCGTCATGACCTGACATGAATCTATCTAGTAAAGTATTCAGTGTCACGTTTGGATCCGTAAGTACTGCAGGGCATCACTGAAGGGTATGGCGTGATATTATTGTTAACATCACAGAAAACAGCTGCCTTTTTCGGTGTCAGTTGTGGCACAGATTTTTCCAGGATGCAGACATCCTTGTATACTGACTTATCCATTTGGATATTAAGATTATTGAAGAGCTTGAGGCCAAACTTCACCTAAACCTTCCACCTCAGGCACCTTGCTTTGGCACCATTCCATCTGGCATAGCCACATGTGTTTATTGGGAGGCTTTAAGCGCCTATAATTTTACTGGAATTTGTTTTTCTGGAAATGCTTTTTGCCACTCTTGCGCGCACAGTACCCGAATGAAGAGGGCCGTGCTCAGCTCCTGGATGCGTTGCTGTGGAGCCTTCCCAAGAACAACTCGGTGACATCTCCTACTTGGCCCAGAGGACTGGCCCGTGAGTCAGCATCTCTTTTTTTTTTCTTTTACAGCAGCAGTTGTCGTTGGGTTTTCTGCTCTCAACATGCCTTTCTGTTGATCTATCCACAGAATATGCCACAAATGTGATAGTTTGGGTGAAACATCGAAAGGATTAATGCCTTAAGGATCCTTCACAGCGAAATCGTTTGTGACGTTTTTGCTGTTATTTGTAGCGTTGTCAAAATGGTTTATTGGGCAAGTATTATGTCTGGTAAGGCTGGAATTGAAGCGTAAGTGCTGTAATGTGTCGTATAATTACGCATGCATTACCCAATCAGTTAATGTGGAATGCCTCTATGACTTGTCTAGTTTTGTGACAACCATGTTTTGACAGCATCTCTGCACCAGTGAAATTGCCCTTTTTTTGCCTTTGGCAGTGATAAGCTCTGCCTGAGGACATTTATGTGTGGGCAATTTGGCAGGGATTCAACCTGGGGGACCTGTGTGGCACTGGTAGGCCAGGCCACGGCTCGGGCTCATGCAAGACTTACAAGGTTAGTACTATTTGTGTGCTTTCCATTCTACTGTGCAGCATTGCTTCGGTACGACACTTCAGTTGAGCATTTTAAAACTGTTGAGTTATTGATGAGATGACATTGCAACTTAAATGTTTCCTACCAAAGTAGGATTTTCTTGACTGATTAGCAATTGTACCTGTTTCTTTCATTTTGTTTAAATACCTTTGCACTTCTATGCTTACTTGATAATTTGTATCCAATAGTAATGTACAGAAGGTCTTGGTACTGTATTCCTGATTTATGACCTTATACCCTTCCTGTATGTCTTTCAAATTGATAACTGTACTATGACAAAATTAATGAATATTTGAATTTTATTCAATTTTGATATCCATACTCTGCCTTCCACCTATATGTTTACCTCATGGATTATGATCTCCACACGATGAATCTACAGTTACCTCTTTGTTAAATGAAATCTAATGCGAACAGGAAAATATGCTTAGTTTAACAAGAGTTTCATTTACTGAGATAATGAACAGGGGTATAGTATACAAGTACGAAACTAGTATGTCTTGTCAGAGGGCCTTGTTTCGTTTAAGCAGCGATTCTGTTTAAGACATTTCTGTTTACGGAGAGTGTATTCTAGTGGTAGATGCCCCAAGTTTCAAAGTCGGGGAAATGGCTATGCTCTGTCAATCTTTTTTTTTTTTCTCTTTTATCTTCTCTAGCAGCAGCAGCAGTGGCAGCCAACAAAGGGACGAGGGCTGGGAAGCGGGTGTGTGCGTCGCTGGCCCCCTGCTCGTGCAGGCCGACCTGGAGTCGGCCCTGGAGTGGCTCCAGGGCAGTCAGGCACAGGCAGTGGGGGCACCCCGCATCCCCTGTGTCCACTGGGAGGATGTGGGTGGCCTGGCCGAGGCCAAGCGCACCCTGACCGACACTCTGCAGCTGCCCCTGCGACACCCGCAGCTCCTCGACGCCGGCCTCAAGCGGTCTGGTGAGCATCAAATGTTTGGCGCGTTATCTTGGAAACGTGTGGTGACCTGTAGAGCAAGCTAGAGCGCTATGGAGGAATGCAGAATAGAAATGGTGCTGTTGCCGCCACAGAAAAATAAGAAAATGTGGTGAGGATTGAGGAGTACATGCAGGGAGAATGCATTGAGATTACCTCATAGTTATTTCCAGTTATCGTGATAGCCAACATTTGCCATTTAGACAACACTAGGTAGTTGACATTAGTTTGTCATTAGCTGCATTAATCAGTGCTGGCAACGGGCAAGTAAGTACGATATACCCACAAACCTCGACATAACAAACCGAGATATAAAGAAATATTGGTTATTACAAGGTAAGTAAAAAATACTCTTTCAATAAATATAGTGTTAGGAATATATATAACAAATTTTTGGATATAACAAACTTTTTTTTGTAAGGTGTAACTTCATTTGAGGTTTGAGTGTACTAATATAGGCCTTATGGGAAACATCGCGGTGTCATTTGATGGGTCATAGGATGACTCGCGTCATTCGTCGCATATCGGTCTCAGCAGCCGTCATTGAATTGTTCAGCGGGCTGGTGCTTGACTTGTTGTTTTGAGCAACTTTTGTGCTGGATGCAAGTCGGGCCCAAAGGAAGGTGACCCTTCTGATGCAGCGTGGAAGGAACATCACCAGTGTCAGAAAAACAATGACAAGAAGGCTGGGAAACTGGAGGTTGAGGCTGCCCTCATTCTCTTCAGGAGGTCACTTCAGCGGCACGACCTGCGCTACACCAATGGTGCTTTGCGACGGGAACAGCCGCAAGTTACCTTGCGCTACAAGAAGATAAGGTTTATGGGTATATCCTAGCGGAAAAAAAGAACTGCATTAATCATGTTCAAAAGCGTATGGGCACTGCTTTGCGCAAGTTGATTGCAAAACACAAAGGCCCTGGCCTTGAGAGTCTTGGGGGAAAGAGCCGTTGACAGGAGACCTGATCTCCAAGCTCACCAATTATTATGGGTGGGCTCTGAAGACACACAGTGATGTTGATGCTATGCACACAGCTGTGATGGCCACTTATCATCACATCACGTCCAATGATGATGTGGCAAACCACACTCTGTGCCCACCTGGTCCAAATTCCTGGTGCAAACAAAATGCGGCAAAGGCCAAGGGGGAGCCCATTCCCAAACATCGTCGAAAGCTGTCTCCACATGTCTGCCAAGCCTTACTTCCAATTTATGAGCGCTTGTCAGACAGAAAGCTGTTGCAACAATCCCAGTGAAGGAAAACCCAAAATAACAACGAATGCCTGCATTCAGTGATCTAGAAGCTGGCACCAAAGGAGCGACATGCTTCACTATTCACGGTGCAGGCAGCTGCGGCAAAAGCAGTGCTCAAGTTCAATGCAGGCAATAAAAAGGCATCAGAGGACATTATGAAAAAGCTGAGCCTAAACCCCAGCTGGCAAAGCCACAGCCGCATGGCTGAAAAGTATCGACGGCGCACGGCAGCATCGGTCAAGAAGCAACAAGCAACGGAGAACATGCACCGGTCCCTGAAAAAGCGCTTCACGGGGACTCATAGTCAAAAGGACTACATGCCCGGTGCATACTGAGCATTTTCAAGTGCAGTTATGCAAATGAATGAGTTTTATTACTTTTTCTCAGTTTTCTGAAAACATGCTTCTTAATGACTTTACCAGTTTGTCGGGTTGATATCTTGCAATCTAGAACAGCTAGAGCGATAATTTTTTCATTAACGTAAAGCCCAATCTGTGTATTACAAAGTGCTGAGAACAGAATTTCTATTTGCTGCCCATATAAATTTAGAAGGTATTGAATTTCTTTGTATGTGATAGCCATGACATGACTCTTCAACTGTCATCATCTGCAGAATCACTAGTTTTTCTTTGATTTGAAATCTTCTTGCAGCAATGCATTTATTGCTGATTGCACTGTCTAGCTATGCAATAATATGATTACGCCACACGAGCACGGTCGCTTTCATCGTCTTCGTCGTCTATGATTCTCTTTCGTTGCCGATGTCATGTAACATATTTACTTTTTAATAAGCCCTTTCTTTTCTATTGTCTCCAAAAACAATAGAGTGGCAGCATTGTTTATCTTTTAAATTAATTGACCTACAATGATTTTTTTCGTATATTTGAAATCGGCAGGAGAAACTACATAAGCATGTATATTTTAATCATGTTTTTTTTATTATTCATCAGATACCCCGCAGCGCCCGAAGGCGTTATAGCAGGGGGTTACATCAATAAATGACGTACATCTCCGTTCACACACACAATACAGCTTTGTTCACACATAAATAGTTGATAAGGGGGCCACAATACAGAAAATATTTCCATCACACCATGTCCCCCCATAAAGCTTTACACAGCATGCTTCAGACTTCCTGCACTCTTCTTCCGTTTGCGCCTCCCAGTGCCAATGCATAAAGAATGACAAATAATCTTTATCTTTTTTGGCAGTGATACGGTTACCCCTGATGCGTTGTCGATTCGTATTATATGGACAGATCAAGAGTGCAGCCACTACAGGGACGAAAAAAGGGAAACGACACAGCCTTTTTTTGGCCTGTTGTGTTAATGCACTTTGCGATTGGTATGACCAGTGCCATTAGCTAGCTGTCCATTTTGCTTGTCTATATCAAGCAGCAAAATGCCTTGCAAAACTTCTATTCATCCCACTGTACATATGAGATATATACCCACGTATCTATGCAGTGTGCTTCTCTATGGTCCACCTGGTACAGGAAAGACTCTGCTCGCCAAGGCAGTCGCCACAGAGTGTGCCCTCAGCTTTCTCAGGCAAGACTGCCTTTATGGCTTTATTTCTTATGTGCTGTCTCTTCATAGGGCATGGCAGGGTGGTGCAGTCGAGGTGCTGTGCCAGAATAATAAAAATTCTGTTTCTCTTTATTTTATGTGTTTTAATATACTATGTAGGTCTTGTGAGAGGCATTGCATAAGGGGAGTAGGGCAATAACAAATACATGTGTTTCGAATAAGTTGGATTACATAACATCAACACGTACCAGCAGGAAAAATAAAGAAAGAATATAAAAAAGTCACACAGTTGAGTAGTATGTTGTATTTACTCGCATAATCCTCACGCTTTTTTTTTTTCACGGAAAACCAGTGAAAAGTTATGGGTGTAAGAATTGCGCTACGAAAATTTTCTGCGAAGACGTACAAGGTAAAAAAAAAAGCAAGAAACAAGGTGGCCACAAATCGATATTTCCACGCTAGCAAGTAACTACAAGCTTTGAGAAGTACTAGTCAAGTCTTAATAAAAAGCACAGGTTTGACCCGAGGCAAGGTTTATAGTAGAGAGTTTTGGCACACCAAACGCGAAACTCACAGGCATTACTGGCGTAGCGTTAGTGTTCGTCACTCAGCGGGAGCCCGTAAAACGTCAGGGTATGATGTCAACCTTGGGCTGATGGCCATCTAAGACAGAATCATCTGCAGTTACCTTCTGACATAATAAAGTTTTACCATCTATCCCAGTCTGAGGCACACGGAAGGCCCAGCACGTGTTGGTGGCTTTCAGCTGGCCGTGCTGTTGTTGGCAGTAGCGAACACAAAACTAATAGACTTCAAAGTGCCTGCTGATAGCCCTGTTGCCGTTGTTTCATGCTTGATCAATCGCTTTAAACTTGAAAGCAGCCATGTAGCTTCCGTAACGCCCCATAGCGTAACCACATAATGGACACGACGTATACTAACATGGCACAATGCGCACTTGCCTTCTTGCCTTGGATTAGATTGGAGCTCCGTGTGTTTATAGTACGCACAATGCTTAAGAGGTGGTGCCAGGCTGTAGTGTGCTATCACCATCAGTGGTTGGAAAGAGCAGACGACATTACGGGTGCAATTTACGGAGGTGCAATAATTACTCCCGAAATAAAAAACTTTATTTTTGTTGGGCATTGTGGGAGGTGCGAGAGTTATGCGTGTACGAGGACTAACTACACGGGCAAACATGGTATATTGTGAAAGGGGGTGATGCAAAAAGAGAGAACGTGTACATTGCGACATTTTGTGGCATTGATACCAGCATTTGGCATGGAAACCAAAAAAAAATTTTAAGTTGCTGTACAAAAGCAGCACAGTTTAGTAGTGGCACCAAAAATACAATAATAGGATGTCCCCAATAATGGAAAAAGATAAGAAGATATAGCTGCAAAAAAAAAAAGAAATGTGTTGTGCCAATAATACCAAAGTTTCATGTCTAAGCAGGCACAGTAAGTGCTACTCATTAAGGTTTGCAAAATGGTTTCTCAGGATATGACAGGAGCAGTTCTAGATAGTGTGTACTTAAGTAGTATAGTATGTCTATCATAACTGGTACCTATTTCTTTTCATGACTCATTGATTCACTTACACCAGCAGAGCAGACATGTAGGTATGGAAATGTCACTTATTGATATGCCATACAATAAGGTTGATATTCACTGTATATGTGGCTTTCATGTACTTAGTGTTTTTGATTCTAGATGGAGCTGCACCCATTTCCTTTGTGACCTTTGTGACATTGAACGCTCATTGCCCTAGGTCAAAACAAAACTACCCAGTGCCACATCTGGGTTGAATGAAACTATGATCGCTAGTAACGAGATCGTAGGTAGTGTCTGCACCCTCATGGAAGCATGTGCACAGCCTACGCTGAAGGAATAGACACAAGACTGTTTGTTGTAACCATGGTGCATGAAACTGGAGTTTTTTTTTAATCGTAAATAATAGGCTTGTGCGAATAGTAAATTTTAGGTTCCAAGTGAATTCGAAGCGAATAGTGATCTTGTGGAATAATTTGAAATCAAATTCAGATAGTATATGTCACCTATTGTAAAGAAAGAGGAGCATATTTGTCATGACCGAACTAACCATTTTAAAATTAAAACAGGTCATGTATAAATGTCTTTTTTTTTGTTCAAAAGTGGTTAAACCAACTTTGTATAGTTACAGAATTCGACATTTGTTAGAATGGAAGGGATTACCTGTAAAATACATTGCGCTTTGAAATTTTCTAAACTTAGAACCAATGCGAGTCTGATAGGTTCATTTAACCTGAAAGTGGGTTTTTGCGATATTTTTGGGCGCAGGAGGGGGCGGGTTAGGTGCATTTACAATAAATTATTTGTCCACTGCAGTGAAACGACCTTCACAAAAGGTTACATGCAGTCTATTTATGTCTATTTGTTCATTTTTAATAGTGTAATGTCCGCTCGAGCATTCCAAGTGCTCATATATTCACACAAGCCTAGTGAATAGCAGTCACGCAGTTATTGAGACACTCGGCAAAAATGAAACTACTGTTTGCCGCAGCCAATGCAGATGAAACCTAGAACACTAGCTTAGCGATACAAACAGCAGTCATTCAGATGTTGTTCGACTGATGTGTTGTCACACATGATAACACAGTCGAACTCTGCTACAACAAACGCCGCTTCAACAAAATTTCCGCTACAATAAAAAATTCACGATTCCCTGTCAGCAGTCTATGCACAAATATTGTTGCCACGACAAACACATTTTCTTCGATCGTCCCACTTCAACGAAATTTAACAATGCAATTCCAGGCTCAGATGCTTATTTCTATGCAGTAAACACTATATTTAACATTTTTGATGCATTTTTCATAGCCTGAAAATGCGTCAAGCACGCGTTGCCCTCACCAGATACCACTGCTATACCAGTGCTCTTCAGCAAGCATGGGCCCCGCCATTGCTCGATAGCGATGGAAATGAGACTGCCCTGCTTTTGCCACTGGTGCTTTTGAGCCGTAGACGATCCAAAGCTGAAGCTCAGTCGCTCAGTTCATGGTTCCCTTCACGCAGCTACTGAGTGCAAACACGGAGCGATGCCTTTTCCGATTTCGATGCTTATCATTATGTTCACGCTTGGCCACTGTGTTAACTAATCAGAGCGTTGCCTCGCCGTGGTGGTCTAGTGGCTAAGGTACTCGGCTGCTGACACGCAGGTCGCGGGATCGAATCCCGGCTGCGGCGGCTGCATTTTCGATGGAGGCGGAAATGTTGTAGGCCCGTGTGCTCAGATTTGGGTGCACGGTAAAGAATCCCAGGTGGTCGAAATTTCCGGAGCCCTCCACTACGGCGTCTCTCATAATCATATGGTGGTTTTGGGACGTTAAACCCCACATATCAATCAAACTAATCAGAGCGGCTGTTTGTCCACATTATCAACAAAATCAGCTGGCCGCGAGGGATGGATGATAAGAATGGCATAGAATAATGCAAAAGTCGCAGCTTCACGATACCCTGCCTCCATCTCGGCATTGTCGGATACTTTTGACGGCGGACAGTTGCTGGTGTTAACCTGTTAATGCGACTGTTTGGTTTGTTCACGAAGACGGTTTTAGGCATTGTTTCAGGATGCTTTTCACCATGGCCTCCCTATGCATGGTTGAGAATCACGTCGTGACGCTGCTGGGAAAGCATTGCACATTTTTCGCATTGCACATTTTCGCATTGCACATTTTTGGCACTTTGTGCATGGTGGCTTTCAAGAGTTGTCCAAACGAAGTAGAATGTGGCCAAGGTAATGATTTTAGTCTCATTAAATGCATATCTTTGCAAGAACCAAAGGAGATTAAGTTATCAATTTTTACAAACAACGAAGGTTGAATCACCTATATTTCACTGTATTGACAAGTCAGAGAGCATAATTTATTTAGATAATGTCGTAGTGATAGCCTGAAAGAATTTAACAGCAGAGATATGTTCTCTTCTACATTCTGTGCAGTGTCAAAGGTCCCGAGTTGATCAACATGTATGTCGGGCAGAGTGAAGAGAACGTCCGAGCTGGTAAGTAGACTCGGCTTGTAGAAGTTGCGCTTTGTCAGTTTTTGCCAACTTTTACCCTATTTACTCATATAATGAAAGCACTCGCATAATAAACACACTCCCAACTTCAGTCATCAAAACTTGTATTTTTTTTCTCTGCGTAATAAATGCACCCTCTACATTCATCCGCCGCAGTCCTGCTAACCGACAACTGGCGCCTCCTCGCCCGTTAGATCTCCTCTGTTCTTTATTACTTTGCCGATCCCCCTTTACCACCTCGGCTCACTCCCTCCCCCCCTTCGCCCGTTGCAGCATGCCGTATTGCTTTTCATTTTATCTGTGCGTGGCACGTCCTCTGTCTTATCTGTGCGCCACAGCGGGGTTCACGGGGTTCACCAGTTGTGCGGTGCGAGTGTAGAGACATCGCAGCTGATAAGCACACAGCGAGTGAAGGTCACCAAACGGCTCACGCCAACCAATGTCGGTCGCTTCCTGCTAATCCCTCGTCCTTTTCTTTTTTAGCCTACTTTCTTTTTTCTTCGCTCTACCTGTCTCTTCATTCTCTGTTGCCCCCTTGAGTATCGTTTGAAGTGTCCTTACATGAGAGACAGTTATCGTGCACTGCACACCCCATTTTCTTACCTTTCCACCATTTTTTAAAGAATTAACCCCCCTTCCCCAAAAAAAAAAAAAAAAAGACTAACCACGTGCACGCGACTTTCGATTCGAGCGACGACGACAGGATTTGCTGTCGTGAAGGGTCATTCGTCGCTATCACGTCGCAGTTTTCTGGAAAAACAGAAAAATCGCTTGTCGTCCAGAGAAGATCGTGACGATTTTCGCAACATGGTAGCACCCCCGATTCTCGCTTTGCTTGTTATTTACCCATAGAGGCACTTCTTGTGTAGAAGCAAGGTGGCTGCCGTATTTTGTCGTTAATCTTGTTGTCGACGGTTTCTTTTGATGCTTTGGGTTAGCTTGCTGCAATGTTGGTTACTTGCTACCATGACCTCGTCGTGCCTGCACAATGTTAACGGTGTTGTCACGGTTGTCGTGCGAGGTTGCCGCGAAGTTGGCAAAGTGCGTCGTAGTGCACGCTTTTGGGCACCCCTCGAGAATATAGCAGATAGCGGTTAAATGATCGCGAAAAAAGATAGCCGCAAAATGTTTTTATGGCGTGTGCGGGGAGGCCTGGAGACAGCTTGCAGAAGGTAGTGCCATCAACAACCGTGCAACAAAAGGGCTGTTTCCAAACAGCGTACGCATAAGTAAATTGCAAAAGGCTAAGCGACCTAACTTTTTTTTGCATTACTGCATTTTTTGCTCCTACCGAAAAAGTTTTCATAAAATTTATCCCGCGTAATAAACGCACCCCTCAACTTTGCTCCAATTTTCTAAGAAGAAAAGTGCGTTCATGCGAGTAAATACGGTATTTTCACACGAGAAGCACTTGGAACCAAGTAAAGTTTAATTTCAATTAGAAGTTTTCAATTACGTGTTGAAGTTTAATTTCAGTTACGAGAGGCCAAGTTATGCCTGGGGATTGAAGAAAGTGCTTTACCCACTAACAGCACAGAGCAAAGATGAATACAGAGAAACCTTGTTAAACCGTAGTTGGCCGGAGTTCGGAAAAAGTACGTACTAAATGGTAGTACTGCTCAACCTAAATAGCGTCAGGTCGCTCACTTACCTGTCAAAAAAAGAAACCTTCAGGAAGTGCCATGAAAGAACAAAAAACGTGCAGTAATTTATTAACTTCGCGTGACAAAGCCTGTAATCTTCATTCGACGACGCGGCGGCCTAGCAGCAACAACAGCGGCCTCAAATTCACTTATGCTGTGAGCCAGCTTTTCCGCCAGCCCCCTCTTCTTGGCAAATACCCGCATCACGCTGACGCAATGCGCAGCTTCGGCCACTGTCGGACCTAGATCACTCGTGTTGTCGCTTTCCATGTCGTCCTCATCACTATCATTTGGCAACACTTCGACAACCGAGGCAACAATGGCTTCGTCGAACATGTCCGGAGATGTCTGCACATCGCTGTCTGCGTCTCTGGAGTCGCAGAAGGAAGTGCCTTCCGTAACGCCCTGCCGCTCCAGCACTTCAGCTAGCAGAGTTTTGCAAGCTTCGTCTACAATGTCCAAAGTCTGGTCGATGGTGTCACTGGCGTCATCTGCGTCACCGGCACACACACTGAAGCCAGCACGCTTGAAGCAATTTTGAACTGTCGTTGCTTCAACCTGCCGCCACGAGTATTCGAGCAGGTGAATCGTGCCAATCAGGTCGATGGAGAATAATTTGCCACATTCAATGGCGAGAAGAAATCTGCGCAGCAGATTCTTCTTGTAGAGCTGTTTTACAGCTCGAATGATGCCTTGGTCCAAGGGCTGGGCAATCGCTGTTGTGTTTGGTGGCTGAAACGCCAACTTCACAGCCGTCAGGTTGTCCAGGGTGACGTGCGCCGAAGCGTTGTCTAAAATAATAACAACTCTTCTGTTCTTAGCCGCAAAAGGACGATCGATGAGGCGCACCTACTCCTCAAATAGTTTTGCCGTCATCCATGCTTTGGTGTTGCTGTCATAGATGACCCCTGATGGCAACCGGGAGCCTTTGAAACATCTAGGCTTCGCCGACTTTCCAATCACAAGGAGCGGAGTTTTGTCGGTTCCAGTCATGTTTACGCAAAACGCCACTGATATTCTGTCTTTTGCATGCTTGCCGCCGGTGCACGTCTCGCCTTTGAACGCGAGTGTTTTGTCTAGTAGGAGCTTAAAGAATAGTGCTGATTCATCCTTATTAAAGATGTCATCAGGTGCGTAGTCTTCCAAGATGTTCTTCAGCTGACCATTTTGCCACTGCTCCGTGCCATCCACGTCAGCAGCAGCACCTTCTTCCGAAACGGTCCTCGTGGTAATGCCGTGCCTCGCCTTAAATCTGCCCAGCCAGCCATTGCTGCACATGACGTTGTCATGGTTGAGCTGCGAGGCAAAAACCAGGGCCTTCTCCATGAACAGGGGTCCGCTGATAGGCAGATTTTTTTACTGTGAAGCTTTTAGCCACTTCACCAGTGCCTCCTCTACATCCGAAAACGCCGAACGGCATAGCCGGCACCTTTTCGCAGTTGCAGCAGCACTGCCGAGCAACTTCTCTCTGGAAATCCAAATTCCACATACCGTGGTTAACGGCAGGTCCTTTTCGCGTGCCAGCGCCCATTTTTTCGTGCCACTTTCAATACCACGAATTATGTCCAATTTCTCCTCTATTTTCAGCACTCGATGCTTTTGTCCCAGCTTTGGCATGACGCAAGTACGAAGCAGCACAACCCACATACACATCACGTGAAAAACGACGCGAGAGCGGTACGGCACGGATCAACCAGAGAACACCTATGCACGGCGCCAAAGGAACAAAGAAAGCAAAGCAAGCGCACACCGTGTTTGCGTGTTTGTGCAAAGCGCCATCGCGTGGACAGCACCGGAAGCCTAGCCGGTTGAGTGCTTCTTGTTGCAAAAAAATCCAAGAGATAGTGCTCACCAACACAGCCGCCATCATCAGCAACACAAACAAGCGAGGCATGTTTCGATCTTTGGGGCTTGCTGTTCTGTCAGGATGCCCAGACATGCTGCGGCGAGTGCGCAACGAAAATTGGAAAAACTACTTATTAACCGATACATACGCGATAAGCTGGTACGGCTTATGCGGATACAAAATGCATTATGTTCAATGGCCGCCGAGTCGGGGATTTGACTTCACTACTTTTAAAACGAAACTACTGCTTACGCGGGTACGGTTTAAGGAGGTTTTACTATAATGAAGAATTTTTCATAAGCTTGAATCGCTCGAACAGGTACTTTGTTTACTAATCATTCTTGAGGACAGCTTTATCATAATTTGTTTGCCAGTTAATTTTTTCGTTACCACTACTATTCAAATCAATTACCAGTGATCGACGCATTGGACAGGCAATTTTGCATGTTGAATTCATTTCTCATGGACCCAGCACTTTCTAGTAGTTGGTGCGGCCACTTGACTTTCAGAAACAATTTGAATCTGGCCATTTTGGCAACATAGTGATTTTTGAAAGATCTTAGTGCGAACTAATGTGCGTGTGTTTTGGGGAAAATGCACTTAGCTGGCGAACTTGACAGAAGTGCGTGCCCCTGGTAATTCTGCCACAGAAACGTCAAAGTTTTGTAATCAAATGAACCTTTGCTAGTCAAAGATCAAATTAAGGTGCATTCTTTGCATTCTGACAATGTTAAGCAGTAATAATTGACAGAAATTTATGCCAGTTATTCAATAGAGAACTTTTGCGAGGGTTGTGGAAACTTCATTCTACAAAAAAAAAAAGTATTTGCAAAAGTCCACCCCGTATATAAAGTACCCTTCTCAGCCAGTTTCCAACAGCTTTGGTTTCGCTTGTATGGTTATACACAGGGCTGCATCTAGTGTCACTGGTCACTCCTACGGCGTCCTCATACATGCATTGGTGTGCATCTGCGCTGCATTATACATGTGCCACTCGAAACTGTTTTGCAACTGTAGGTGAATTGAGTAAAGACAAGCTTAGAGTTCGAGCATGACAGGACCTCACTTCAAGTTCTATGGCAACAATGTTCTGCGTCAGCCTAAGACATCCGCAGCCGCTAATGGATTTCGTTTGTTTTTGGCCTCAAGTTGTCTGCTCCACCGCAAGTGCGTAGCTGCTGACTTTCATGCACAATTTTGTAGCTGCTCTGGTTGCATACAAGGTCCACACGTCGATAGAGCGAAGTGTGCTGGCGCTGGCTGCAGAGCTTCTCCTCAGAACAAAAAGGCCACTGGCCTTTTTGGCCCAGACTACAGAATCTTGGCCCGAACTACGGAGCAGCGCCAAACTTTTTAGAACTGTGGGCGATACGGTCTTTTATATTAAGATGCACAAGTATGCAAAGAAGTACACTCGGATGCATATATTGCTACGCCAACCTATGCGGAGTGAGCTGGCTCATGGAAAGATGTACGCTAGACGAAACAGCAAAGTTCATTGGACATCTAATTTATAGAGAGATTATTCACATCACGGGCACCCTTCTATGTCGGAACACTTTCAGGTTCTTATCCCAAGAAACAAAAATTTACTGAGAAAAGTGTACTAGTTTACTTGTGTCTCGCGAAAAACGAAGCAATGCTTCACTGCACGGCACGAGAAATGAAGCAGCACCTCAGTTCCGATTTCCTTTGTCTATGTAAATAAGCATTTTGTGCAACATATATTATTTTTTATACTGTTCCTTGGTCATTTCTCTCCAAATGTATATTATGAGTATTCTATGTTTTGAATATTTTTGCATATAAAGTGTTTTTATTTATTTTACTGTTTACCAGCTGGCAACCAAAAATTACACACTTTTCTAACCTTTATTGATTCCAAAATATTGTTACGTATGGTAAGGTAACTCAAGGGGTGGGGTTTTAATGGCACCGAGTATGGCACTGAGTAATGGCACAGTATGATGATGATTACCATTTCACCGCCATGGCTCATACCCACTCAGGGGAATCGTAGTAGAAGCAACGTCGTCTTTCTTTTCTACCCGCGCTTCCCTTGTTTTTCCTGGTAGTGACACTTCGTATCATTCCTCCTGTCTCAGACGAAGCCCCCTGGGCAAGTCATTCTTGTATCCTTCGTGTAAACGGCTTCAGACGGGCAACATGCGTCACCTCTGTCTTGCATGAACATCGGCCACTAGTGGTGACACGTGCAATTTCATAGTTGACTTCGCTGAGACGATGGAGTATCATGAACGGACCGGCTTAGTGTGCCAGTAGCTTTTGGCTCAAGCCACGTCTGCGTATTGGGGTCCACACCCACACTAGATCATAGGGGGCATAGGTTACATGCCGGTGTTGACTTTCGTAGCGAGTTTTGGAGGACTCTTGCGATGCCAGTGTAGGTTAGCAGGCAAGTCGACATGTCTCTTCCGCACGACACAAAGTTTTCGCAATTGTTAAATCGTCATGGACGGCAAAAGGAAAAATAGTGTCCAGCGTATGTCGAGGTGAGCGAGCGCAGAGCAGATAGAAAGGGCTGTAGCCTGTCGTTTCGTGTTTCGCCGTGTTGAAGGCGTACGTGACGAATGGTAATACTTCATCTCAGTTTTTGTGGTTGGAGGTGACGTACATTGACAACATGTTGATGAATGTTCGGTTTGTGCGTTCGGTGAGGCCGTTAGTTTGTGGACGATACACAGTTGAGTGTCGTAACTTGGAGGCACACAAACAAAGTAATGATTCCACGATATCAGAGGTAAATTGTTGTCCACGGTCACTTATTAATCACGCCAGGTGGCCCGTGTCAGAGGATGACTGAATGCAACAAGAACTCCGAAACCTGGACTGCCGTGGCGGAGGATAACGCAGCCGTCTCGCAGTACCGCATCAGGTAATCGGCGCATACATTTTGAGGAGCGTGGAAATGGTCCCATCAGATCAATGCCGACCTTTTCAAAAGGGGAACTGGGAGGCGTTACGGGTTGCAGGTGACCAACTGGACCCGAGGTGGGCCACTTGTGGCTCTGACACTGCGTACAGCTGGCCACGTAGTTTTGAATCGTCTTGCTCATTTTCGGCCAATAGAACCGCTCTTTCGTGTGACTAAGTGTTCGTGCGGTTCCTAGATGGCCAGAGATGGGGTCATCATGCGTGAGACGCAGAACAGACGTTTGGAGGGGACGCAGGAACAACCTGCAGAAAGCGGGCGCCCATCGTGGACAAGTTTCTCTGGTAAAGAAGACCATTTCAGACGCAGAATCGGCCTTCGCTTAATGACTTTCTTGCTCCAGGAAAGAGAGCTTTCAAGTTTGGGTCATTACGCTGCTCAGTGGCGAAAGTCACGGCATAGGGAAAGCCAGACGACAGAGAAGTGATAAGGTGGTCAAAGCTATCGGCTTCACAATCTGTCGTTGGTAGCGGCGTCCTAAAGAAGCGATCCGCATCAGCGTGCAGACGGCCAGTCTTGTATGAAATAGTGAAGACATATTCTTGCAAACGAATGGCCCATCGTGCGAGGCGGCCGGATGGGTCACGAAGGTTGACCGGCCAATACAGGGAATGGTGATCTGTGACGATAGGGAACAGGCGACCATAGATATATGAGCGAAACCGTTGTACGGCAAATACTACCGCTAGGCATTCCTGTTCGGTCACTGTGCAGTTGCGTTCAGGCTTGCCTAAAGAACGACTTACGTACGCCACAACGTGTTCCTTCTTGCCAGAGCGCTGAACGAGAATGGCACCGATACCGATGCCACTTTCATCTGTGTGAATTTCTGTGGGTGACGAGGGATTGAAGTGCCGAAGTATTGGCTGTGAAGTTAACAAACAGTTCAGCTGGTGAAAAGTGGCATCACACTCGGAGGTCCACTGAAACGGGCTGTTCTTGCGTAGAAGGCTCGTCAGGGGGTGAATGACACTCGCAAACCTTGGTACGAACCGGTGGAAATACGAGCACAGCCCGATGAAGCTACGCAGTTGTTTCACAGATTTAGGACGCTAGAACGATTCAACGGCCGCTGTCTTTTGTGGGTCAGGTCTAATGCCATCTTTGTCGATGAGATGTCCCAACATCAATGTCTGTCGCTTGCCAAAGTGGCACTTTTTTGAATTCAATACAAGGTCAGCTTTTTCAATGCAGTTGAGCACAAGGTCTAGGTGGGTGTTGTGCTCCTCAAACATACGTCCAAAAATTACGACATCGTCAAGGTAACACATGCATATATGCCATTTTAAACCACGCGATATAGAGTCCATAAATCTTTCGAATGTCGCAGGAGCATTACATAATCCGAACGGCATAACGTTGAACTCGTAAAGTCCCTAAGTCGTAAGTTACCTTACCATATGTAACAATATTTTCTTTGCCCTACAACATATATTATTTGGAAAGAGCATTCCATTGTGCGGAATTTAGTATGCTGCAATTTGTGCTTGAGTACTTTTAAACTGGTGAGTACTACCGTGTCTTCCTGAGATATACGAAAACCATTTTCGTGGGGTAAGGAAAGAGTCAACTTTCATCGGCAACTTTTCACCATGTCGTGGGTGATATTGCAGGAATTAAACTTGATTGATGATTGATTTGTGGGGTTACCGTGTCTTCCTGAGATATACGAAAACCATTTTCGTGGGGTAAGGAAAGAGTCAACTTTCATCGGCAACTTTTCACCATCTCGTGGGTGATATTGCAGGAATTAAACTTGATTGATGATTGATTTGTGGGGTTTAACGTCCCAAGGGAATTAAACTTGATCATCATTAAATACAGTAGATGCCTTTAGTATAGACAACTAATCTTTAAGATGATTGGATTGAAAATTCTTGCTTCAAAGCACTATTCATATAGTGCATGCTACGAAGCATTGCTTAGCTGTAAGAAATGTACAATGACTCTTTTGTTACATGAGAATATTGTTTTTTTTTATCGTACCTGTGGTGAGTAAATAAAAAGAATTAGATTTTGTAATGGTTGTTTCCTCAGTTTTCATTATATAGAGTTTTCTTTTCATTACTGACTTTAAAGAAATCTTTCTAGCCAGATGAATTTATAACACTACTGTGTGCCAGCTGGTGGTGTAAACCATAAAAAATAATTATGTAGGCTTGTGCGAAAAGTGCTTTTGGTCGAATAAATTCTTGTCTAACTTGAACAGTATATATGTCACATATTATAAATAAAAGTGAGCATATTTGTCATCACTCAACTAACTTGCACAGTTGTTTGTTAGGGGATTGAAGCAAGGCCTGCAAAAATGCTATCATTTTTTGGTTCTACGGAAGTGGAAACAACTTTAAATAGTAGCACGATTTGACTTTTGATATAAGTCAAATGATAATGTGCCAATTAAGGAACATTTTAGAATTTACGATATTTAGAGCAGATAAGCTGGTATAAGAAGCGTTTTAACTTTAAAAAGATGAATCAATGTGAGGGTAGTATGTTAATTTAACTTCAAAGTGGGACTTTGCGGCAATGCGGATTTACCCTAGATGGGCATTTTTACGTCTTAGCATTCCTCTCCTGCAATGAAACCACCTTTGCAGAGAGGTGACAGGCAAATTGTTATACACCTAATCCTTTGAATACTTCGAAACTTTCAACAAATTAAGCTCGAATGGAAGCGAACTCGAATACAGTAATAAATTTCCAGCATTCAAAGCACTCGGATATTTGCTCAAGCCTACTAATCTGAAAGGGAGTCAATGCAATGTGTGTCTCGTGGTTTCTCTTTCCGCCTGTAAAATCTGGCTGTCTGAACTGAATGCTCTTGTTGCAGTGTTTGCTCGTGCCCGTAGCGCGGCCCCCTGCGTCATCTTCTTCGATGAGCTGGACTCGCTGGCGCCTAATCGTGGACGCAGTGGAGACTCTGGCGGTGTCATGGACAGGCAAGTCCTCTCTGTTCCCTGTTGAATTTGCCAGCGTAGGACAGTGTGTATGGAGTGCAGGACAGAGGTGACAAGGGATCCCTCGCTCGGCCAGGAACATCGAAGGGCCACTTCGCAGGGTTTGGGCACTTGAATATGCGTCGTGCGTGAATCATTTTTTAGTAGTAGCGACAGTGTTTCACAAATCTTGAAGTGCCTGTACAACTTGAGAAAGGTCGAAAGGCACTTTAAATCAACACATTGCTCCACTATTCGGTTCACTTTACAAAGTTAACCATAAAAATTAAGGCTATTTAACAAGAAAAATTTACGGGGAAAGGGGAACTCAACCTTTCCGCTGTTTGGTCATATCGTATTGCAACCATGTGATATATGTTGCACATTTTAATTTGCTTGTGCATGCCTCTGCACATATACGTGGTTGTAATACTATTTGAACAAATTGTCTAAAATTGGCACGTGTGCTTTTTTGGATGGGAGCTGCACTTCGGTGTAACGAAAGCAGGCTTGTGCGAATAGTGAATTTTAGGATTGAAGCAAAGCCATCCGAAGTGAATAGTGATTTTGGTCAAATAATTTAGAATAGAGCTTGAATAGTATATACCTCACATATTGTAAAGAAAGACGGGCATATTTGTCGTGACCTAACTAACCTGCAGAACATTGTTTTGAAATGGGAACAAACCATATGCAAATGCCATCTTTTTTGTTTCAAACCAAGTGGAAACAGCTTAGAGTAGTAGCAGGATTTGGCTTTCTCTAGAATGCAAGTTACAACCTGTAAAATATGTTACGTTTTGAAATTCACTATACTCACAGCATACAAGCCACTATGACAAGCTTTTAAACTTAAAAAAAAAAAAAATGATAAGTCGATGCAAGGGTAATACAGTATTTTAATTTGCCTCGAAGTGGGGTTTTGGGGCCGTGTGGATTTCACCTGTGTTGTTTTCACGACTAAGCACGTCTTCACTACTGTGAAATTACCTTTACAAAGGGTTACACACGAATTAATATACACCCATTCGATCATTGTGAATACTTTGAACTCTTCATTATTTTAGATTGTAATCGAAGCAAATTTAAATACAGTTGAACCCCTTTATAAGAGGCATGCTCCAGACAGCAATTCTTGTCTTTTATATGCGTTGTCTCTTATAAGCAGGGTACCTTGTATGCATTTTCTTATGAATTGTATTTTACTGTAGGCACACTGTTGTCTCTGATACCCATTTGTGTTTTATATCAGTGTCTCTTATAAAGAGGTTCGGTTGTACTGTGATATTCGTTCCCAGAAGCCCAAACAAAAGCAAACACTCATACATGCTCAGGTAGCATGTGCTCATTTAAACAGCCATGGCCAAGCCTGTACAGTTGCGCACCAGAATACTTTCTGAACGTCACTGGCTGTGGCATGTGACTTTGGTTCTTCGTCCAACGTGGAGCGCATAATGCATGAAACTACTGCGTGTGTGCCAAAAATCAAAATGAAAGGAAGAAAAAGAAGAAAGGGACTCGCAATGTCAATACAGAGGCATTTCCTTGTCTCTGGCAGTTGGGAGTAGTACACTCAAACTTCATTATATCAAAGTAGCATCTTACACAAAAGTAAGTTTGCTAAGTCGAAAACTCGTTATAAATGTACATTTAAAACTCTATATCAGTTGCAAAACTAGCTATTATTTCTTCGTTATTACCGATATTTCACTATATCTGGGTTTCTTGTATCAAGGTTTGAGTGTATGCATCGCTCACGAATGCTAGCCAAGTCAAGGAAAGGAGCTTTCGTTCTGCCATAGAAGCCCTGTTCCTACAGGCACGGTAAAAGACCTCCTAACATTTTGGTAATGACCTTATTGAAAAGGCACATTTGATAAAATGCTTCCCAGGTGGCAGTTAGATTAGCAAGTGATGGGTTGAGGAAAGACTGGTGCCTTTCATCGACCTGGTGCCTCGACTGGTCGAATACTCGACTTTGCTACGATGTCGTGGATTTCGCTGGCAATTGTGCAGTCATAGTTGCTGTAACGGCAAAGATGCGCTATGCTGCACTCTCAAAGATTCAGAGCCTTAATATGCCAAGCTTCCAAAGCTTTTCTCGAGTCAAAATGACCGAAATATGAGAAAGAATAGAAAATGAGGCCTGTGACGTCACTCTGGGGCAGCACATTTTTTGTCACCTAGTTATAGCAATTGATTGAAATTGGGTGTTTGCCTAATGTTATTTGTGTCTCGTAATCGACGTTTTACTGTCAAAGTCATCAGAATAGGAGGAAAGAAATACGCGGAAGGGCAGGGAGTTTAGCCAGCATCAAAATAGAGTTTTTGAAATAGTAATTGGTCAGTCCAAACTGATTTCATATTTCACTTTTATTGTCCCTCTAACAGGCCAGTGATGATGATGACATTAATGGGCCTTGAAGTGCAACCTTTCTTTTTTGCTCTTTCTCAGAGTTGTCTCTCAATTGCTGGCGGAAATGGATGGGCTCAACAAGTCGGCCGACGTGTTTGTCATTGGTGCCACCAACCGGCCTGATCTGCTAGACCCAGCCATCCTACGGCCTGGCAGGTGCGTCGCCGTCTCTTAGCCACTGTGCTTTACGACATTGCCGACACCGTGCAACTCGGCACGGTCAAGTCTTTTCTCGTCATTAAGGCGAAAGCTTTAGGTGCCTCATCGAACACGAAAACTGGCTGTTATCGTTGGCACTGTCGAAACAAGCGATGCAAAAGGTCATCAGCATGTGATGGCATCATCATAATACATTATCGAGACGTCAGAAATTGCCAAATATTTTGACATCGTGATGACATCACATTTCGCGTAACATGATGACATTATCACATGAAATTATCGCCAAGTCAGAGGTTGGCCGATCATGGAGGCCTGGTGAGCTGCCTGGTGGCAGGATAATGTACATCGACCTATGAGAAAAGAAGATGCCTTTCGTCTTTCAGTCATATCAGGCCGATGCATAAGAGACTGTGCAAGTTTTATTTTGTGCTAGGTCTCTCAAAAATAATATGTAATGATGATCAGTCATAAGTAAGATGGCTACGAATAAAAAAGTCTGCATTAAGTTCATGGCTCAAAATGCATTCTGAAAATCAGCTGAACCCAGCAGCCTGCGCATTAGAGCAGCGTTCACTCTCATCCCTCATAGTCCTCCAGTTTCAGCACTTCGAGTATGTTACTGTACTGTTTTCACTGTTTGTCTGCCTGTGTGGCACCACTTGGGTTACTTCGGAAAAGGCGGAATGAAAGAAATTCAGCAGAAATGTTGCATTGCTTTTTGTACTGCTCTCATATGTGTGTGTGGCCCCTTGTATGAGAAATTAACTGGATAGAAAATGTGGGCGGCCCGCATCACCAAAAAGTACAATGAGCTCAAGCACGGACGTAGCCAGGAGGTGGCACACCGGGCACATGCCCCCCCCCCCCCCCCCCCTCCTCCTTCGAAATTTTTTTCCGCAATGGCATAGAGAGCGAAAAATGGTCATTTTAAGAGGCGCCCCTCCTGAAATTAAGGTGGTGCCTCCCCCCCCCCCCTTCCTAAAAATATTTCTGGCTACGTGCCTGAGCTCAAGCCAATTTAACATGACTGAAGAGGGAAAATGTCACAAAGTAATATTCGGCAAAAAAAAAAAAACTCCAATTTATTCAAATAAAAGGCTAAAACCTAATAGGTGTGGCATGTGAGTGCAGGCTATAAACCGATTAGGTTCTTGGGAAAGAGCAGCTCGAAATGCATCAGTGTTAAATTTCCCCAAGATCAGTGTTTTGGGTGGAACAGGCTGTGTGTTTATTTAGCTCACCTCTGAACACTGCTTTGCCTTCACTTCCACCAGAGTGGCCGATGGGTTATGCGCCTGGTGGCTTTTCCTACAGCAGGCAGAATCGAATAAGTCTACACTAATACCACATTCACTGGTACAATCAGCTAGATTAAGTCCGAAATTTTTATAGAGTAACTGGGGCACAGAAGAAAAGTTTAGTTGAGAACTTGACTATTAGTCTGCTCCATGTGCGGTAAACTTCGACCTTATGGAGCGCATTTCTTTAGTGAAAAAAAAAAAATTAGTTGATATGCTTAGGTCACAAGGCAAAGATTGCACAATATTGTTAAAGGGGCCCTGAAACACTTTTTTGAGCATGGTCAGAAAACGCTGCCGGTCGGTAGTAGAGGCTCCCGACAACATGCAAGCCAAATATTATAGCACAGCATGCGGCCTGAAATTCACAATAACTTATCAAAGTCAGCTAAAAATTGCTTTCTCTTCTTTCGACAAATGACAGAAGACACTCAAAAATCACACGTAGCAAGCTCATCTATCAGCCATTGGGTGATTTGAACATGGCACACTCGCTCGTTACAGAGATTGCCACAAGAGGCTGCGACCACGGGTGCGCGCCCTATCACACTGAAAAAAGCCGCTCATTCAAAGAAAGAACAGAAAAAAGTGCACAAGGTCACGAGGCACGCATGACGTATTTTCTTGCCCCTTCATTCCTCTCTGCTTAGCGTCCAGCGCTTTCATTGGGACCAGAGAAGAGAGAATGCATTGGTAGAGTGCGACAAATCTTTGTAACTCCGCTCATACAAGACAGATTCTTAAAATTTTCGCGGCGTTGAATTCATGAGGCAATAAGCTCTTCCAGTGAATTCATTCCATGGTTACTTGAAAAAGTGTTTCAGGGCCCCTTTAAGTGCAAGGCCAAGCTGGGAGGCTTTATCTAAATTTACAATTCAGGAGGTACAGTTTGTTAAGGCAACAGCCAGTGACAACTTGACGATCGTAGTCCTCTTCACTGAACTGATTTCTTCCTTCTCAGTGGCACTGGCCTCTAGCAGTACTTAGTGACAACGAAACACATTAAGAACTTAAATCAAAATCGTACACGTGAGCTCACGTAATTGTTTGAATAAATTGCATCTGCAGCCCTGAAATTAAATATTGCTTTAATTAGAATGGAAGTATTCACTTCACAATTGGAGCTTCAAATGAGTGTGCATCCGTAGTCGCTATTGTTGGGGTGGCTGTCTGCGTCGAAGTGCATCGTTCCGAGTGCAGTTCCCAACAATGCACTGTGCAGGTTTGACCAGCTTCTGTACGTGGGTATCCCGTCGGACAAGGACTCGCAGCTCAAGATCCTGAAGGCCTTAACCAGAAAGCAAGTTGATTTTGTGCTCATTCTATACAGTTCGTCTTCCTTTGTCCTTTAACACAGCTAACCAGTGCAGTGACTGCTACTATGGCCTTCTGCGCTCAAACCTCGTCGTAACAAAGTCGCATCTTACCCGAAACTAAGTTTGTTATATCCAAAAAATTGTTTTAAAGGTTTATTCTTAATATCCTATCTACTGCAAGGCAACTTTTTTTTTTACTTCGTTATATTTGGGTTCGTTATATCAAGGTCTTAGTGTATAACAAGTGCGAGTTATGGAGAAAGAGAATGAGTACTAGTCCTCCATTAAAGCTCTGGTCCCATGCTGACGAGTATACAGTCCACTTTTACGAATTCTATCTTGGTGGGACTACGAAATTGGCCAATCTGTCTGGCTGGTTGTATGTATCCAAACACATCCCTCTTTACTTTAGGGTGTTTATGAGGTTTCCCTATTTGTAACGCACCGAGTCCTGTGCATTGTTAGTCGAAAGGGCACGTGTTAGAACCACACATTCAAATGCATGTTTTGTAGTCTACCAGATACTTATATTGTAATCAGCCATTTTTACATATAAATCTGCCTCATGCAGCCCATAAATATGCGTGTCTTACCAGCGGCAATGTGTTGTCAAGGAATTCATTTTTCTGTAGTTCCACCAGGTTTGATGCTGCAGTCGTTGAGATTACATCAAACAGTACTATTGATGTGGTTGTTAGAGCAGTTGTGCACGTTTACAAGCAGAGTCTAAATTTTCTCCATTACCTAAGATGAGCATACAGAAGCTAAGGCCCGTGGAATGTGTGCTGGGGATTATGGTGATTGCATGGATTAATCCCAATCGCTACTAAAGGTTGCAAGGCTGGGGCTTTTGGTTGCGATTGGGATTTATTCATGTATTCACCGATTTCTCAGAGACTGTGATCGGAGAACTGATGCATAGGGCAGTACGAAGCAAATGAAAGTAAGAATGCACGCATGAAAAGGGTAATTTCAAAGAAGACATCTTCGTAGCATTATAAAGAAAGGTGTAAGATAATGGTGGAGAAAAATGGCTGGTCTGGTAGAACCCTGGTTGAAAGCCTGTCCTGTTATTTCATCTCTGCTCTGTTCTTACATCGTTCATTGCTCACTGGAAGACACCTTTTATGAACTTTATTGAACTATCCCAGCTTTCCACTTTGAAAAGTATAACATAGCTTGGTATTATACAAAGGCCTAGATGTACCAGAAATAGTGTTTGTAGTGTTTTGTATATTAAATGAAATGCTTGTATGCATTATGCAATTTCGATTGTGCTAAAATAATCATTATAGAAGTGATAAGGTGACTGTAAACACTGTCTTTATTTAAAAGTATAATTAAAAATAATGAACAGAGTGTTATTGCAGATGTTGCCTGTGTCGAAACAAGGGAATGTAGTGCTTGGATGTACGAAAATAACAATCAAGTAAGCTTGTGCGAGTATTCTAATGCTTTGAGTATTAAAATGAAGATTACAGCATTCAAATTTGCTTTGACTTGAATTTAAGGTATTGAAAATTTCGGAGTATTCAGAATGAACCAATCAGTGTATATTAGTTCGCATGTAAGCTCCTGTAAGGGGGGTTTCACTGCAGTGAAAGGGTGCTAAGCGGTGAAAACAAAAATTCAAGTGAAATTTGCAGTATCGGAACGCTTCACTTCAAGGTTAAATGAGCATATTACCTGCACATCGAGTCATCAATTTCTTTTTTTTAATTTAAGTTTGAAGGCTTGTTATACCAGCTTATATGCTCTAAGTATAGCAAATTTTAAAACGTAACATACTTCACAGGTTGTCAGTGGCATTCCATCGAAAGTTAAATTTTGCCACTATTCAAAGTTGTCTTCAGTTTCATTTGAAGCAGAAAGAATGGCATTTGCGCAGGCCTTGTTTCAGTCAAAAAATATATATTGTGCAGTTCAGTTGGGTGGTGTGGTGACAAATATGCCCATTTGTCGCTAAGGGTGCCGGTTGAAAATAAAGCGCCATATTAAGTAAACAATAGCGTTGTTCATGCCAGTCGAACTGAGCGCCGCCTGTGTTCAGGTTCCGATTTGCCGAGGGCCTAGATCTGGCCTCAGTCGTCGAGGAGTGCCCTGCAGGTCTGACAGGTGCCGACTTCTACTCCCTCTCGTCGTCTGCCATGGTGCTTGCCACTAGACGTCACATCGACCAGCTCGAAAGAGGTGAGAGATTGTGGTGTGGGGCTGTTGCTTGGGCTCAATCTGTATTGTTTCGAGTTTGCACAGTGGAAGAGTCTATTGGCACCTCAACAGCTTTTGTCTCGCGTATCCAGCAGAAATTTCCCGTGTAACGTCGTAGCTAGAGTGGCTCGTTGCTGTTCATCTTGGCCCTGGCAGTAGTAATGATGGCAGAATATCAAAAATTGGGAAGCAGCACAGTGAAGGCTTCTGGCCCACCAGTGAAATGGGCGAACCGTTGACACTCACGAAATGGGGACGCTCATGCTACGTCGAGCAGAACTAGCTCACCAGTGAAATCACCAATGACATGATGCTCAAGTGCACGTGGGCTCTCTTGTGCATCACTTTCACGTTAGGTCACTAAAATTTGGGAAGATCGCTGCGAAAAATTTTTTAAAAGAGTCTGCAGTATTCACAGATTTATACTGGACGATTTAAATCCAAGTAATGCACACACTTTTCTTTCCACCCTCTTCGTTTCAAATCATGTCGGTGCGATTTTGACTCGAGTACATAGGTCACGGCCAACGTTATCCTTAGAAACGAGGTTCGTCACGGTGTGACATGGTTATCTCGAACAATGGCGCGCATCATTCGTTATGCAAAAAAAAAAATTGATGAATCAAGGCTTTGAAAGACTACAGTGGAACTTCGCTACAACGAACGTTGCCTAAACGAAATTCCCGCTACAACAAAAAATTGTGGGTTCCTTGTCAGCAGTTGGTCAATGCAAAAATATTTGCATCACAAAGAACATTTTTTTCTCCTACCGTTCCGCTTCAACAAAATTCGAGCATGCGATTCCAGGCTCAGATATTTAATGCCGTGCAGTAAATGCAATCTTGACCATTTCGATGCATTTTCAGACCATAAAAATACATCTACGAAGTCTGAAACGCATGATGGCACCACCAGAAACTGCCACAGCGTACCGAGTATTAAGGCCGCCATTGCTCATTAAGGGTTTCAATGAGACTGTCCTGCTTTTGCCACTAGCTTGCTTTTGAGATGCAGACAGTCTGAAGCTGAACCTTATGGCGAATTCTGCTGGAAGAGCAGGTGCACTCAAAAGCACGCTGAGAGTGCTCTCTTCGGAGCCGGTGTGTTTCAGTGGTCGAACAGGTACAGGAGCACCATCATCCATTGGTAGAGCGAGTATGCTTTTGCTGCGACGAGTCACGTGGCCTTTCAACATCACGGCCTCCGAATTATTCTCTAACCGACAAGTGCGGCCGCAATGGTAGCAACAATGTGTGGTTTGAAACCACTGTTCCGCTGTTTTGTCCGGGTGTAGGCAATGACAGCTGGACGTCTGCCGAGTGCGTTGTTGCACAAACATACTGTGTATGAGAATAATGAAGAAAAAATGGCCGACTGATTGCACGTGTATTTTGCTGCTGCCCCACAGAGAATATGCCGGAGCTTGGAATCTTTCGATCATATGGTCTCCCCACTTGTGAACCTTTTACCTGCTCTTTACCTGCGTTATAAATGTTATAAACATTTATAACGAATTTGTGGGTATAATGAAATTATTTTGTATGTAAGAGGCCACTTTGTTATAATGAGGTGTGAGCGTATAGATATAATCAATTTGCACAGGTTTCATGTAGGGCTGCTCGTTTGATTTACTAAGTACATATGTGTGCATCTCTTTTTCATCACTTGCATTTATTTTGAAGCAGTAAGTACTTCTTATTTACATTTTGCCTAATAACTACCCACAATGCCAAAGAAAATCGTGTCTTATCGTGTACTCACCTTTAGACGGTAAATAGCAAATGAAGAATTTTGTGTGCTCGCAGGCGTCATAGCAGCAGACAACCACCACGTTGTGGTGACCCTCGAGGACTTTCAAGCTGCTCTGAAAGACCTCGTGCCTTCAGTTTCTCCGGCCGAGCTGGCTCGCTACAAAGACATACGAGAAAAACTGGCTTCCCCCAAGGCTGTTGCCGTTACAACGTGAAGGTGTCAAATTAGATGTTTTGTTTAGTATAGTGTAATAAATCTTATAAATTTTTTTTCACAAGGTGATGCTTCATTTAATACACGGTGTTAACAGTTAGGCTATGCTCTGCACTTATTTTACATAATGAGGTGCTGAAGAAATCGTCGTTACACAATGACAGCTTCCATTTATCGGTCACCTTCATCATCATATTCAGACTTTTGTCTTCAGTTAAACAGCCTTCCTAACAGCCTTCTTAACAGCGTAGTGAAAGAAAATAAGAATGTTGTCTTATGTGGCGATTTTAACATAAATATCATTGATCCCGATAGCGCATCGTGCCTGGAATATATGCACTGTTTATATGCTACTGGCTTTGCTTTGCATATTTCTGCACCAACTCGAAGTAATCTTCTAGGTTCGAATACAATATAGATCACATAATCACGAATACTTTAGGTGATCACACTGCTGGTGTGAAAGATTCTAGTATTACAGATCATAATCCTGTCGTTTTTTTTCGGTGACTCCTGTCATGAGTCACCGAAGTCGACTGGACTTCGGTGACTCATGAGGACTGCGCAGAAAAGGCTTTTTAGTCTTTCTCAGAAGTAACTGCCAAAAGTATAGAGGCATGCACCACTTCTACCGCTGTCACGAAGTGGTATCGCTCACTCAAAAATTCATGTATAAGTAACTCATTGTTAAAGTCCATTAATAAAAAGAATAACCTTCACAAAAAACTGAAGTCCCTGCTTTTCAACACTGTAATAAAATCCCCCTTCCTCATCGATATTATCTTTTTTATTGAAGTGTATTAAGTGAAATCACTACCAGGATATTATTTTAAAATATACGCGTAACACGAAACGTCGCTGGCAAACCATCAAAGAATTTTTGAACAAAAAGGAGTGCTTAGCACCCACAATAAAAATAAAGCAAAGGGACGAAATGTATGCTGACCCAGAAAAAGTGGCCACTGCGTTTAGTGAGCATTTCTGTGCATCTGCGGAGAAGCAGCAGTCAGAAATTTATGTATATCTTATATACCACAGTGTAGTCATTCATTTTATCTACATTTGACGTCCGCAGATGAAGTCTTTCAAGTTATTGTATCATTGAAGACCACGGGTGTTAGTTTAGGCAATATTGATCCCTTGAACGTGAAATTAGTCTCGGGCATAATATTTCAATCTTTGTCACTTATTATCAACAAGCTGTTTTCCGCGGGTGTGTTTCCGAGCTGCCTGTAAGAAGGGCGATAAGACTTCAGTCCAGAATCCAGAATTATAGGCCTATCTGTATCCTCCCTTTTCTTGGTAAAGGGATTGAAAAACTATTCTACATAAGATTAATGAGTTTTTCGAAAAAATTTAACCTTTTGTCTCCACAACAATTTGGATTTCGTCCGGGATATTCGATTGAGCTGGCACTAATCACCTTAACTGAAGAAATTAAACAAGCTATTGACAGAGGGCTACTCATAGGAACTGTTTTTATTGATTTGACGAGGGATTTCGACACAATAAATCATTGCATACTACTTGAAAAACTAGAATCTTTTGGCATGTCTGGCCCTCTTCTAAGCTTTATTAAAAGCTGCCTCACTAATCGGTCTCAAATGGTACACGTAAACGGTAATCTTTCATCACCCAAGTTCATTAACGTAGGTGTGCCACAGGGATCAATTTTAGGCCCACTATTATTTTTGATGTTTATTTATGACCTGCTTACTATTCTTACTAGAACAAACTGCATACTCTATGCTGACGATACAACCACATTTATGTGATCTAAATCAATTTCTACGCTCCAGACTGACCTCAGCACAGATTTAGATTACATAACTCTATGATGCCGGAGAAATCAGGTGCAGATCAATGCAACCAAAACCGTCTTTATGGTGCTTCATTCTGCGCGAATCGCACTTGATATACCACCTTCTCTTCACTTCGGTAATAACGTCATAAACATTTCTACTGAAGCACGGTTTCTTGGCGTCATCCTAAATACAGAACTGAAATTTCATAAACATGCCGCTTCACTCGTTAAAAAGATTGCACTTGGAATCAATGTTATCATCAAGACATGTACGTGTTTTCCACCTCACGTCATACGTTCTTTGTATTTTGCCTACATTCACAGTCATATTTCGTATTGTTTATCGTCTTTGGGTAACACTTATATCACGCACATTGAACGACTGCAGCGACTGCACAACCAAGCGGTTACACTAATGACTTTTAGACCATTTTATTCTTCCTGTAGCTCATTGTTTCCAAAGCTTAACATACTATAATTAAGACAATTATTTCGCCGCAGATTGTCCATAATAGCCTATAAGCTCATCTCGCATGATATTGTCATGGCATGCGTTGATCATCATCATTTAACTAACAGCAATATTACCCGGTTTTCCCAGAGCAGTAATCTTCTTTTACCAGCCGTAAGAACGAACTACGGCGAGTTCACAACCTTGTTTTCATGTATAGCACTTTGGAATTTATTGCCCTTTGATTTAAAATTATTGCAGAACATTCATATTTTCACCTCGCGTAGTAAAAAACATTTTCTTCAGGAATTATTGGAATCATCTGATTTGTGTATTTAACTGTTCGTAGCTTTCAACAGTTCAGGGTTAGTTTTATATTAGCTTTTGTCTTTCTACAGCTTATGCAACTGATAAAAACTAGTTGCATTTGTCATGTATAGTTCTTTAATTTTGCTTTGTTTTAGTTTTATCCCCTGCTATTGATCATTTTTGTCTAATTTTATCAGTAGTATTACCATCATGTTATGTAATAATTGTGTTGTTACTGTTAATTAAGCTCATTAGTCTTTGCTCACAAAGTCGCACCTTTTGCTGTACTTTTTTTTGTAATTACCCCATTCATGTCACCATAGGAGGTTCCCCTGTCAGTTTCTATGAAACTGGGACCTCCTCCTGTACTATTCCAACCATGTAACCAAATGTGAAATATGTAATAAACTTGACGTGGGACTTGACATCATTGCACATTTTCAGTAAGCAAGTTTCCTTTAGATTCACATGATGTACATTCAAATAGGCTGAAGAAAGTGCAGAACCTGAACACTGTCAAACTCACCATTGTACTGTACTGTCCTGCATACGACACTGTCCACTGCAGTGCTGGACCGATGCTTGGAGCAACAGCCCTACGCCTCCCAATAAAAACCCACAAAACAGCTTTGTGCACTTTTTTGACCTTAAAGTTCAGCCATCCTCAATTTTGTCCTCGAGCATACGTCATCATAGCAACGAACATGTACAGTGTCGGTTCCTTCTCCTCCGCACATCCCCCTTCATCGGTGGCCAAGAGCCACGATCGAGCAAGCGCACGTGTGTCGAGAACTCGAATCCTGTCATGCGAATAACTCAATGGCAGTGGGAGAAGTGGACAGCGTGTCACTCCTTTTCTTTCTTTCAGACACCACCTACATCTCTTTTAAATTGAAGGCAGCATAGCCTGTGCACTGAATAAGCATTAAGCATGCCCTATACCTCAGTACAAATGTAGGTATCTGATACATTCACTTCCTTAATGTGTGCGAGTGGGCGCATAGATAGGATGTAATAAGAGAAGACTGCTGACGTTAAATGTGACGGGGACGAGAAAAAAAAGCATGGGACCTCTCTATACTATAATTGACCTTAACTGCATTCAAAATGCAAGTATATATACACAATTGATGACTGTATGCGCTGAAGACATCCACTCCCCTCATACAAATAAGTTCATGTCACCTGTGGTAGCAATATCTTTGCTGATAATTATACCTTCAAATGTGGATGACAGCTGGAATAAAACCACCGACCTCCCGGTTGTGAAACGACCTCCCGGTTGTGAATGCCGCAAGGGGTTGTGAATCCCCTTGCGGCATTCCTTGCAGCGATCCTTGGTGCCCTGAGTAGTACCATGGACCTTTTCTTACCGTGTTGCCTCTGCTTAGTGAACTTGCATTTCGGAGCCTCCGTTTCACGCAACACTGCGTCTTTGAAACGGTGACCTCTATATGGTGTCTGGCGAGCTCGTGTTATGTCCTGGATACGCCTCTATACGTTTAAATGAAGGAATGAAAAACTTTATTAATGAGCCCTCCTGCGATCGAATATGCCAGAAGGAAGTGGTCTCTTCTTAACGAAAATCCAAATGGGTTTCTCGCCACCTAGACCCTCGTAACGAGCAGGAGCTGGTCTTCAAGGGTGGAGCTGCAAAGCAAGATCTTCCACCGCTCTCTATGGGGCGGGACAGGATGAGGGATCATATGTTAGGAGTGGGGTGACAGAGGAGCAGTTGTGGGTGATTTCGGTTGAAGTTACATACTCCTATCATGTGTTCTAGTGTTCCTCGTTCTTGGCACACAGGCCATTCCTAGCTCTTCTGGCTCGGCTGCATTGTTTAAAGTTTTCGGATTTGCAGGTCTGTTTCTTTCTTCCTATTGCTCCCGTGTTTCTATCTCTCTATTGCTTTCTGTATTGCTCACGCTTGAGCGTTTGTACGGCGTGCACACATCTCATGTGCGCCCTGCTAGATGGATGGATGTATCCGGCTGTGTTCTTTAGATCAAGTGATGGCTCACGCCACCTAGCCATAAAGTTAACTATTATCACGGCGTGTTTAAGGATTGAATTTCACTCGTGCCTCGATTGTAGCCACCATTCAGTTAGCCTCCTCCTGGTTATTTCTACACGTTTAAAATCCATTTTACCTTCACTGTCCCTAAACTCCAATGCTTTGGAAAATTCGGCGCCATTATCTTCGACAATAGGGTGGAACCTTTTACAGAACACCATGAAATGTTAAGCCGTTTCCTACTCCTCTCCACGCACACTACATACCGTGTCTGTGCCTTCGTATTTTGCTCGGTACGTCTTGGTCCGCACTACTGCCGGTCTAGCCTGGAAGAGCAGAGAACTACCCTGAGATTTATAGCAGATCTTTCCCTTGCAATTTCCTGCTTAAAAGTTCGGCAGGTCTCCAGTGATGATTTCGTAAGCTTTCTCATCTTCCACGTGTCCCTCTCTGTTTCCTTCAACTTCTTCTTAACCGATATTTCAATTTGGCTTGGTATTCTGCTGTTGTCTAAATACTTGCTTGACAATTTTCGAGTTCGTTTCCTCCATTTAGTATCGACATTCTTTATGTACAAGTAACTGAAAACTTTCCTAGCCCAACTCTGTTCCCCATTTTTCTCAATCGTTCCTTAAATTCTATCTTGCTGCTAGCTTCCTTGCACTCAAACGATGTCCATTCCATGTCTCCCAGTACCCCTAATTTGGGGTATTCCCGTGTGCTCCCAAAGCAAAGTTTACCTATGCCGCGTTGTTTAATTTCCAATCTTGATTGAACTTCCGATTTCATGCACAAGACCGCATTGCCGAACGTCAAACCCGGGACCATGACACCTTTCCAAATCCCTCTCACAACGTCATGCCTAATGTAGTTCCACAGTGCCCTATTTTTCATTACAGCTGCATTTCTGGTGCCCTTAGTCATTACGTATTTTTCGTGCTCCCTTAGATACTCAGCCCCGTTATTTATCCACACGCCCAAGTATTTGTATTTATCCACTTTTTCTATAGCGTGACTTCCTGTATTTTATGCTCACTGACTTTGTTATCATTAAAAATCATATATAAGTGCGACGCGATGCCAAATCCACACGCCACACACGCTGACGCGTTGTAACGCACACGTGTGATTACAACTTAAGACCTCTAGGTTATAAAAAACATTCGCCTGTGCCTTCCGGGCATTAAAAAAACTGCAAATGTGCTAGACTGTACCTTGCTAACGGCGATACTTGAAAGTTGCACGGAAATTCATGTATGCTAATACTTGCACTTCACAAGTTAGCGAAGTGATAGAGTACAGCGCATATGAACAACAAAGTGAACCACTATTTCTTTTGGTGGAGGAGGTAAGTTTATTTACAGAAAGGCAGAGAGGTCGGCCTGAGCGATAGCTTGCTCTAGCCTGCTACTCTACACTGGGGGAAGGGAAAGGGGAAAAGAAAGATTAATGGATGACGATGGTGAGATAGAGAGCTGAGTATGTAGTGTTCTTTCTAGATGAGACACATTTCATAGCCGCGCACATAGCCCAGTTGTTCCCAAAAAGGTTATAACTGCTCTTTGTGACCGCAGTTGCACTGTTGGTGTCTGGCCAAGGGCCCAACATGGTCTCATCAGTTGATGACCTACTGCGATATAGTTCAGTAGAAGAAATCAGTGTTTGTCGTTCACGTGCGTATGCTGGGCAGACACAAAATATGTGCTCAAGTGTTTCTGGCACATCACAGTGTTCAAAATTAGGACCGGTGTCACTGCGACCGATGATATGTGCGTAACGTCTGGTGTATGCTACATCAAGACGAATGCGGTGGATCATACTTGTGAGTTGCCGTTTCAATTTAGGAGGCATGCGGAACCTCATTTCCGGGTCCCATTTGTGAAGTCGCTGGTGTCGCCGTTCCGGTTTGGTCCAGCGCTGAAGTGTGTAGCTGCGCATCACGCAGCGAAGCAGGGCGTTCATGTCAGCTCGTGAAAACGCAATGCGTACTTCAGGGGCACTGCTTAAGGCATTTTTTTATTTATTTTTATTTACACTCAACACCTTGCAGACAGAACGTTTCTTTTTTTGGTTTTCTCGAGGGCGGCGTCACCGATTTAAGTGAGGGAGGGAGGGGGGAGAGGGCTTCGACTTTACTAAACATCGTTTGCTCAGGGCTAGACACATTCTTCTCAGGGTCATGTTACGCAAAAGAACAATTATGGTTAATTGGTTACACGGGCGACCAGGGGATATTTTTTTATTGGGTGGGCGAGGAACCCAGTTCAAGCGAGATCATCCAGGGTGGGGGGGTGGAGACATGTAGTTGGGGAGCTCATTTTGTGTTTTGAGCATTTTTATTTTGGAAGGGGAGGGGGCAAGGGGAGGTAGGCAGTAATATTAGGGTGCAGCTACTGCTCCGATGGCGGCGCCCCTGTTTGGTAACATCCAGGGAGTATGAGAGGCGAATCTTTCCTTTGCGAGGGCTTCTCCGGGGCATTCAACAATGGCTTCGAAAAATTCTGGGGCATTTGAGCCCGCGAAACATTACATCAAGCACCTCAACTGCTGCTCAACGTTGTACCGTTACGAACTTCAAATCCTCACGAATATCAAAACCAACATCAACTTTGCTCTCAAACCCAAGGTGCTCAGTTCGATGATTTCAGCAGGTATAAAAGAGCTGCGTGACATCAAACATGGCCTGCAAAATCTTAGTATTCAGGTACACCAAGTCTAAAAACGTGTTTTTTTCCTGCTTTACAAGCAACCATTGTTGGATACCTGACCTCATCACGGCAGAGATGTCCAAAAATGGCGAGATAGCATCTGCAGGTTAAGCTGTAAGCTCGCCCATCAAAGATGTACAATTAGTACTTTGAAGAAGGAAGAAAAATGACATTTTCACATAAGGGGGTACATAGGAAAAAAAAATATAGTGCTTAAACAGACATTTTGGCCAGCAGTCTCGTCCAAGTCCCCCCCCCTTCCCACTTCCCTTCTTTATGAAAGTACGACTATTTGTCGAAACAGCACTGCCAACATGCTGTGTTGAATATTCATCTCTCGAAGTATTTATCTGCTGCTTTGTGTGGATTCCCATCTGGCGAGCATGTTTCATATGTCGTTCCAGTGTCTAGCCAACTATTTTATGAATGAGTGGTAGAGCAACGCTGTGTGCTCCTTCAGGCTTGACGTACCTGTCAAGGCCGCCGAGAAGGACTAGACCAGCCGAGCACCATCGAACGCTAAGTAAGAAAACGTAACAAACAATCTACATTTTATTTTTTATGCATTGCAGTAACTGCAAGCTTATAACAAAGAATGTAAACGAACACAACAGCTCACGTGCCTGGACAAAGAATCTTTTCAGAAACCTGCACGTGTAGTTAGTCCTGTATAGAAGCAAGATGGGAACTCCCTTTTTACTGG